GTGTATTTCTATACCATAGGAAGGTTAGCATAGGCACCACTGTGTCCGGCTTTGAGGGGACTTGAGCTAGAGTTCGTCACGGCCATGCTAGCGGGAGATTCGTCTGTAAAAACTTGCATTTGTGGTCACAGTGGTGCCTATGCTAACCTTCCTATGGTGTAGAAATACACCTAGTTGGACGAATCTTATTGAAGCTAGCTGGCCCAGTGTTTAACGCGACGGTCTGGAGTTTTGAGACTGACCGCGGGTTCAAATCCCGCCCGTGGTATGGTTTTCTTTTATATTAGATGCATTTGTGTCATTTTACTTAACATACTGTCGGTAATTCTACCAATATTAATACAGCATACATGTCAATTACTCCAATGTTAACCCTTCAAGGGAGGCTCCTTGGCGCTAGTGAGGTGTTCTTGATTTAGGGAATGGGATCTGTGCTCCAGTTCCCTGAATTAAACCTGAATACCTTCCAGCCCCCCCCCCATAGGCGCTGTATAATCCTACGGGTTTAGCGCTTCCTCATGATTATAATAATAATAATACTCCAATGTTAACTGTATACTGCACTCCACTTTATAAAGTTGCATGTTTTCATCCTGTAATCCACCGTATGTTAGACTGTTGGTGATGTTCTCTGTTCCAGTGGAATGGACCTATGCTCTTCCTTGGATCGAACTGATTTCCTCCAATTCCCCGTGTGCTGTATGGCCCTACAAGTTAAGCAGTCTCCCCTGATTCTAATATTACCGACCCATGTTAGGCAAGAAAGAGGCAGTAAAGCAAATGAGATTAAGTCAAGACATGAAAGGGGAATGAGATCCAGGAGGTGGGTCAAGAAAAAAAGAGAGAAGGCAGAAGTCACATCACGTCACGAGTGTTTATTATTATTATTATTATTATGGGGAGCGCTAAACCCTTAGGATTACACAGCGGATATGAGGGGAGGAAGTGGAAGGTATCCAGGCTCGATTCAGGGAACTGGAGCACAGAGCCAATTCCCTAGATCAAGAGCCCCTCACCAGTGTCAAGGAACCTCCCTTGAGGGGACGAGTGTTCTGAAGATTAGCACGTGGCGAGGGAGGACTGAAACGTAGTCTCTACTAAAGAATGACTCTTCAAGTATCTTTGTATCTACATGCCAGCAATATCTTCCAGTCTACACTGTTTCTTCAGCCATCATATCTTTTTTTTTTTTATATGTGGCAATTGACGATTTCTCAGAGTAATAGTACGACTCCATCTTCTGGGTCATTGGATTACCTACCCATCAACCAGCCGGGCTGTGGCTCGTACGTTGGTTTGCGTGCAGCCAGCAGCAACAGCCTGATTGATCAGGCTCTGATCCACCAGGAGGCCTGGTCACAGACCGGGCCGCGGGGGCGTTGACCCCCGGAACTCTCTCCAGGTAAACTCCAGGTGAACATCCCCAGGCGCTGGATGCCGTCTCTCTACAAGTTTAGTGCTTCACTTTTAACCAGTGCAGTGAAAGCACAAACTTGTGGAACTGCATCCAATGAGAGGAGCAATCAAATAGATTAGATTCTTTATTTCCATTCACTGCGTTACATAATACATGAGAGGACAGTATACTGCCAGAAAGGGAGGCTGGTTCCAGCTCACTGATCAAGACTTTCAGCATCGCATTCCTTTGAAGATACTCTTCAATCAAAGTAGTCTGGTTATTACAATAGTATCGATGTACCAGCAGTAATCATTGTCATCCCGTACCATAATTTAGGTATAATAAACTATCAGAATATATACAAATGTTTTACATAAAAGACGATACAGTGTTTCATGTTTGAGCTGAGTGAAAAACTCGAATGCAAAAATATAGTACCTGCTTCATTGAGTCAAAGCTTATTAGACGAGTAGTGAAGTGGACAGAATTCTCCTCCGTAACCATGCTATGTAGAGCGACTAAAATGCCGAGAAGGGCTAGTAACCTTCCTGTATATATACTAAATTTAAAAAGCGAACTTCTGTGTTTGGTCACCGTTTGGTGCCCGTGGCTGGTGCTAACGCTCCCGCTACAACGGAGGCCCGTTCGATTCGCAGGGAAACATTTCGACACTTCCCTTACACCTTTGTCTGTTCACTAGCACAAATAGTACAGGGGTTAGTCGATGGTGGGGTCGCATCTGGGACAAGATTAAGGACCCCAAGGCAATAGTTGATAGTCCTCGATGACGCACTGATTTCTGGGACCTGGTGGCTATAACCCTCCGTGTTTAAAAATCCGAACGAAATCTTATCTTATCTTATCTTATCTTATCACCTCAGTAGGATACAGCTGGTACGTTGAAAGAAAGAAAAGATGTAGTTTAGGTCAGGGGCTGGTTAATGTTAACCAGTAATTTGTTCCTTAAGATGTTCAATATTAGGTGGGTTATGACATGGACATACTTTTATTTTATAGAAACGATAAGAAGCGTAACCTAAGGAAAACCAACCTAACCAAGCCTAAAACAACATAACTTAATCTTACCCTACCAGGGGTAGATAAGGTAATGGCGCGTCTTACATTCTGATATTTTCTGCATACACGCCTAAATGTCATCAATCTCTGTACAAACATTGTATCATGCTCAATTAAAAATCATTACGTACTATTATAAACTACTGTCATTGGCCAGGCGAGTAACTACTCAATTACCAGCTATTACACATACAACCAGTACATGGGAGTGGCAATAGTAGTAGAGGCAGTCTTTGACTGACACCATTACTACTACCTCTACCATTACTTCTGTTCTTCTTACCTCTACCTTCTTGTCCCCGTCCCTCTGCTGCCATATCTAAGTATAAGCCTCCATTTCCTGCTGTTGTGTGTGACGTAAATGCTAAGTGGAGAGAAACGTGTGGCAGCTCCTCTTCATGGCGAGTTAGTGTTGTTGTCCGATATCCCAGAGGGCCCTTTAGGAGGGCTGTAGGGATTGGGTTGTGTAATCCCCCATTATTAAGCTGGAGCATTGCCACATCCCGCGCCCCAGTGACGCTGTATATGGGTTTAACGGCTTCACCCTGTTTTAACAAAAGGATAGTTCATCGGTTGTGCCTCTTTTGTTATTTACACGTTATTACCAGTACATGGGATATGGCATAGTGAGTAGGGCAGTCTTTGACTGATCCATTTAAATACTCTTATTGTCTTTCTGCCAATCTACCATACATTGTCCGTCCTCTGCTGCCATATAAGTTTGCCTCCTTTCCTTCTTGTTAGTGTGACTGTAAATGGTCTAAGTGGGAGAGAAACGTTGTGGTCAGCTCCTCTCTCCTATGTGCGAGTTATTGTGTATTGTTAGTCACGATATTCCCCTCAAGGAAGGTTCCTTGATGTTGGTGAGGGGCTCTTGATTTAGGGAATTGGATCTGTGCTCCAGTTCCCCGAATTAAGCCTGAATGCCTTCCACATCCCCCCCCCCAGGCGCTGTATAATCCTCCGGGTTTAGCGCTTCCCCCTTGATTATAATAATAATAATAGTCACGGTATTGTGCCTTTTTGTTATTTACCAGCCGTTGATTAGCCCTGCTGCTGACTAATTGATATTGGTTCTCTGCTGAGGTCCCGGGTCTTGTCCACTTGGTGACGCGGCATGCCATTTAAAATGAAGGCATAATTATTGCCACTATTTCCAGAACAAATCTTAGAAACAATTATTTCCGGGGTGTGCGTAGGTGTTTGTAGGTACCATTGGCAGCAAGTGTTAACAAGCAGCTGTTTTATAACATTACCCTGGTGGCTATAGCTCTCGCTTCACACACGGAGGGCCCGGGTTCGATTCCCGGCGGGTGAAAACATTTCGACACGTTTCCTTACACCTGTTGTCCTGTTCACCTAGCAGCAAATAGGTACGTGGGTGTTAGTCGACTGGTGTGGGTCGCATCCTGGGGGACAAGATTGAGGACCCCAATAGAAATAAGTTAGACAGTCCTCAATGACGCACTGACTTTCTTGGGTTATCCTGGGTGGCTAACCCTCCGGGGTTAAAAATCCGAAGAAAATCTTAAGTTCGCCCCTCAAAGACCCAAATGAAAATAAGTCACTTCGATTTTTTGGGGGGTTATGCTAGGTAATTTACACTTGTATGATAATTGTAGTTAGTGTACTTGTACGTAGATAAACTTAATTAACTATATCTTATCCTAGAGGTTCACCATGATATTAAAGAACTCTTAGAGCCCACCTAGAGTTTACCTGGAGAGAGTTCCGGGGGTCAACGCCCCCGCGGCCCGGTCTGTGACCAGGCCTCATGATGGATCACCCCTCATGGAAGGTTCCTTGATGTTGGTGAGGGGCTCTTGATTTAGGGAATTGGATCTGTGCTCCAGTTCCCCGAATTAAGCCTGAATGCCTTCCACATTCCCCCTCCCCTGGGCGCTGTATAATCCTACGGGTTTAGTGCTTCCCCCTTGATTATAATAATAATAATCATGATGGATCAGGGCCTGATCAACCAGGCTGTTACTGCTGGCCGCACGTAGTCCAACGTACGAACCACAGCCCGGCTGGTCAGGTACTGACTTTAGGTGCTTGTCCAGTGGCTGCTTGAAGACAACCAGGGGTCTATTGGTAATCCCCCTTATGTATGCTGGGAGGCAGTTACACTGTTACACTTGTCTTCCCCTTCCTTGGATCGAACTTGACTTCCTCCCATTTCCCAAGAGCTGAATAACCGCTAAGAATAATAATACTGATAATAATAATTATAATTATCCGGAAAGATTTTCTTTTTGATTTCTCTATATTATTTTTATGATTATAACTGAATATATAACCAATGTTATATTGAAAAATATAAAGAAATTAGAATAAATTAATATATATATATATATATATATATATATAATATATATATATATATATATATATATATATATATATTATATATATATATATATATATTATATTATATATATATATATATTATATATATATATATAATATATATATATATATATATATATATATATATATATATATTACTATATAAAGTTATTCCCGTTAGTGATAGTTGAGGTGAGGCAGTGATGGCTCCTCGTATATTACACTACGTTAATAAACAACTAAGATATTACTCCACCAGCTTCACAAGTGGCAGGAATTATGATGCTATTGTTGTTGGCGGAGGTGAGTTAACACAAAATATATAATATTTAAGCTGGAATATAACTCGAAAATGTATACTGGTATACACATACAGTTACATAAATTATAATTATCATAGATAGCAACATATATGTAGAGAACCAAGGATAACCCCCCCAAAAAAAAGATCAAAGTGACTTATTTCCATTGGGGTCTGTATGATAATTGTATTGATGTGTACCTGTACTTACATAACTTACACTGTCAATATTGACCCTCAAGAAAGGGTCCTTGATGCTGGTGAGGGGCTCTTGATCTAGGGAATTGGATCTGTGCTCCAGTTCCCTGAAATGAGCCTGAATACCTTCCATCCTCCACATGCGCTCAAAAATCCTACGGGTTTAGCGCTTCCTTGTGATTATAATACTGTCAATATTGAAGGTCCAAAAGTCTACGTCATGTGCCCATAATGTGTGCTCTCAGTGGAAATAAATCACATTTACCTTTTTTTTGGGGGGGGAGGGGTTATCTTAGGTGATTTACATAATGCATGATAATTGTACTTATGTTTATCTATGCCTAAATAACTTGCAATTATACAAAAATAATAGTGTACAAAATCCCCTTCAAGGGAGGTTCCTTGATGCTGGTGAGGGGCTCTTGATCTAGGGAATTAGATCTGTGTTCCATTTTTATGCATTGAGCCTGAATATCTTCCATCCCCCCTCCCAGATGCACTGTATGATCCCTCCGGGTTTAGCGCTCCCCCATGATTATAATAATTATAATAGTGCATCAGAAGCCTGGTAGTTCCTGAGACTCGGTCCATGGGGAAAATTATCCCCAAAACCACTGACAGATAAAAGATAATGTGAATTTTTGACCTGAAATACAGAGACATGTAAGCCATAGCTCCGTGTCTTTTGCGGATGACACCAGGATCACCATGGCAGTGACCTCCATCGAAGACACTGCGAGACTCCAAGCAGACATCACCCAAATCTTCGAATGGGCCACTCAAAACAATATGAAGTTCAACGAGGAGAAATTTCAACTACTCATATATGGAAAACTTGAAGAAATTAAAAATGTGTCAGGGTATACCACAAATTCTAACCATACAATAGAGCGGAAAAGTAATGTGAAGGACCTTGGAGTGATAATGTCAGAGAATCTCGCCTTCAAAAACCACAACAGTGTATCTACCTCATCTGCTAGGAAAATGATAGGATGGATAATGAGAACCTTCAAAACTAGGGATGCCAAGCCCATGATGATTCTCTTCAAATCGCTTGTGGTCTCTAGGCTGGAATACTGCTGTACACTAACGGCCCCCTTCAAGGCTGACGACATTGCAGACCTGGAGAGTGTACAAAGAACTTTCTCGGCACACATAAGTGCGATAAGGCACGTAAACTACTGGGAACGGTTGAAGGTCCTTGATCTGTATTCCCTCGAACGCAGGCGAGAGAGATACATAATAATATACACTTGGAAGGTCCTGGAGGGATTGGCACCAAACTTGCACATGATGAAAAGCAGGGGTGCCACGAGTACACTGAGAGACAACACAATAAGTGTCCAGGGCCCAAGACTGTTCAATTGCCTCCCAGCATACATAAGGGGGATTACCAATAGACCCCTGACTGTCTTCAAGAAGGCACTGGACAGGCACCTAAAGTCAGTACATGACCAACCGGGCTATGGTTCGTACGTCAGCTTGCGTGCGGCCAGCAGTAACAGCCTGGTTGATCAGACCCTGATCCACCATGAGGCCTGGTCTTAATCCGGGCCGCGGGGGCGTTGACCTTCTAAACCCTCTCCAGGTAAACTCCAGGTAATTGAACACAGTAATGAATAAACATTGCAGTAGGCCTACTTGCAGTATCCGACGCCGAGCCACATCCACTCATGTACCAGTCCAACCTATATTTAAAGTTACTTAATATTCTCTCCTCAGTGACATCACCTGGTGGCTAAAGCTCCTGCTTCACACACGGAGGGCCTGGGTTTGATTCCTGGCGGGTGGAAACATTTCGACACGTTTCCTTACACCTATTGTCCTGTTCACCTAGCAGCAAATAGGTACCCGGGTGTTAGTCAACTGGTGTGGGTCGCATCCTGGGGGACAAGATTGAGGACCCCAATGGAAATAAGTTAGACAGTCCTTGATGATGCACTGACTTTCTTAGGTTATCCTGGGTGGCTAACCCTCCAGGGTTAAAAATCCAAACGAAATCTTATCTACAACTCTATAGCCAAATCAATACTTTACTATATCCTTTCTAAATCTAAATCTAAACTTCTTCAACTACGTATAATCCATTGTAAGTCCTGTCTTGGTTGGATATTTACTGGTGCCCTGTGGCCTGGTGGCTAAAGCTTCACTCACCAAGGATCCAGGTTTGATTCCCAGTGAGGGTAGAAACATTGGGTATGTTTCTTTATGCCAGTTGCCTGTGTTTCCCATCAGTTAAATGGGTACCTGGGAGTTAGTCGACTGATGTGGGTCACATCCTGGGACAAAGCTGACCTAATTTGCCCAAAATGCTCTGCATAACAATCAGCTTTCTGTATAGTAGTATGTCACTGATGTCAGCTACGCCTGTATACCTTGTACATGTACTTGTAGAAATAAAGATATTATTATTATTATATTATTGTTATGTTACTTATATCCTCTTTATTTATTTTTGTTTTCAATTTGTACGTATACTTCAGTCACATCTCCTTTATTCTATATCTCTCTGGAGAGGAAGAATTCAATGCTGAACTTCAACCTACCTTCATAGGAAAGATTTCTAATGCAGGGAATCATCTTACAAATACAAATCTTTATTTCAAAATTACTGTACAGGACATATGATAATATTACTGAAGGCCCACAGGATGCATAGCATTTTGGGTAAAACTTAGTTCTGTACAATACTTAAAATTTTCAGTTTTTTTTTATTGTTGTAAGGGTCTAATCCATGGAACTTAAAAGTACATAAAAGTTACAAGTTACTGTGGAACCTTGGTGTTTGTCATTAATTCATTCCAGGAAGTCTGATGATATCCGAATTCGACGAAAACTGAAGCAGTATTTCCCATAAGAAATGTAAATTCAATTACTCCATTCCAGACACCCAAAAGTATTAACAACAAATACATTTTATAGAGAATAACTATAGTTTTACATACAGAAAAGAATGAAAAATAAATATAAAGGACTAATGAAATGGATAAATAAACACTTGACATCACTTTTACCTTTATTGAAGACTTTATGGCATATGGAAGATGGTGAGGAGGGAAGAGGTTATCTCTACCTCCATCACTACCACCCTCTACCACAATCACTACCACCATCACTACCACTATCACAACCACTGCTGCCCTCTACCACCATCACAACCACTACCACCCTCTACCACAATCACTACCACAATCACTACCACCATCACTACCACTATCACAACCACTACTGCCCTCTACCACCATCACAACCACTACCACCCTCTACCACCCTCACTACCACCCTCTACCACCATCACTACCACCCTCTACTGATGAGAAACAAAGCCAGACTGGTTCAAAATGCATGGGATGCTTTGTGTGGGCACGGGCGGACACGTTCAGTACTGCGGACCACTGTCAACTCGACGAAAACCGAAAAGGAGCGAAAACTTGGACAAAATTTTGATGAAAACAAGTCGTTGAAAACCAAATTCGACGAAAACCAGGGTAAATGAAAACAAAGGTTCCACTGTATTTAATAAAATAAAAAAATATATTTGTCTAGTTCTAACAGGATGAGTGGTATTAGTTACTTAAATTACAATACAAAGCAATGAAATATGTTCTCTGAGAATTATTTCTGTAGTCATGGATTTAAGAAGTAAAGACTAAGATAATACATATTATGTAAAATTACCAGTACAACTGCTTTGTCTGAAAGAAAAGATGTCAGCATATTTTGCAATATTTGTGAGAAAGATAAAAGCTGAAACAAGAAGTACAAGGATGGGATTGCATGAAAACAAACAGGTGTTAGAAAGTAAGTCACTTTGACTTTTTGGGGGGTTATCGTATTTAGTTTACACATGTTACTATGTATGATAATTGTACTTTTGTGTACCTGTACTTAAATAAACCTGTTTACTTACTAAAGTATATTGCTGTTAAGAATCACATTGTTAGATACACTTCTAACATATAGTCAAGAAAATCTCCAGAATAAGTCACTGTCTGACTTTTTTGGGTTATCCTAGGTTCTTTACACATATGCTGCTATGTATGATAATTTATGTAACTGTATTTGTGTATACCTGAATTAACTTACTTACTTAATCCTTTCCAAATTATGGTTCTATATACCCCAAATGGCACTACTTACACTATTTATTTATTTATTTATTTATTTTATTTTTTATTTGGACATGATGCATAGTTGTACAAAGAAATATAGTGATTGGGTGTACATGCCAAAAGCCCCTTGTACACAGAACATTATCAGCAGCTTAAAATTAACTTAAGATTAATTAAGCAATGATATATTCAGTGGTAAAAATTTCAGTAAACAAATTACAACATGAAGTACAAATGAGTATTTTAAATAAGAAGCATTAAAGTTATACAAATTTGTAGCATAATAATGTATAATATAATCGAATCAGATCGAGTAAAATCAGTGATTTGTAGTGCAGAATCAGGTCATATGGTCATTCGATGAGTTACTGTACATTCAAGAGAATGGAGGATTATATTAGGTAATGTAATTAAAAAAATATAGTTTGATAGGGTCACAGGTTATACATTTATGAGATTCAGCTATTCACTATTTATTTAGTTGTGTGGGAGTAAGTGGTTTTTAAGAAGAAGTCTTGAATTGATAAACAGACAGTATTTCTTTTATATTCACAGGTAATGAATTCCAGATTTTTGGGCCTTTGAGTTTTTACATAGTGTGAGATGGACACGGGGAACATCAAAGAGTGATATGTGCCTTGTGTTATGGTCATGTGTTCTGTTGAGGTTGGTAAGGAGAACTTTGAGGGGAG